GAAACGGGCGTCTCTTGAACGTTACTTTACACCCGGACTCTGACCGCAGCAGAAGCACCGTGAGTGTGTGGAGCCAGTTTATATTCTGTGTGGAGTTAAAAGAAAATAAATGTTTGGATAAAAACTACTCCATTCGTCGACTGATGTCTTCAAGCTGCAACATTATACATATTCGCACAAACACACTTGTCTTTTTTCGATACCGTAAATAAACGACCAGACCTCTGATATGACTCTGCTTCAATTATTCCTGGCTACGCAGCATCAATATCATTATCATGATCAAAGAGATACTACTCAAGCAACCATTTTGCCTCCCAAAACAGAAACACAAAGCTAAACAATGGAAAATCAATATCGGATGTTAATATTGGCCCAGTTTTACATATCGGGCCAATACCAATATTCTAAAAAATGACCAATATCGGCCGATACCGATGTCAATGCCGATATATCGTGCATCCCTAAAAAATAACATACTGACTTAGTGTTAAACTTGTTTTGATAAGATATCAAAACAATACAATTAAACAACTTTCCACATATTATTTTTAATATTTTTTATCTGTATTTGTTTATGACAAGACATGAAAACCTTTGATTTACAAATAAATGTCTGACTAAGCTGCTGTTGTTGTTGTATTGATCCAATAATGTAGCTCAGGCTGTTTGGCTTGTATCCTGTTTGAATGCTTGAGTTTTAGCTTCATGTTTATGGAAAACGTACCAAATGTCACATACTATCAGTCAGCCAGGTTATAAAATAAAAATCGTCATGAAATAAGAATAATCTGTACAATTCATATAATTCTGTATACTTCTGGCCAAGTTGGTTTGAGCCATTAGTCATGATCATGGACAGGCCTCACCCCAGCATCCTGTTTTCACCAAAGCCAGCCTCGCTCCGTGCGTTCCGTGCCCACCACTTATGTCACGAGTGTAAAGGCTTAATAAATGGTCTGCGCAGCTCCAATTCATGAAAAATGGGCTGCTCCCTGTAATCAATGCAGAAGCAACACAAATCTGGCTGGCCATTATTTCGTCGGCCTAATCATTTGAAGAACCAGAGACAAACTACCACCTGTGCTCCGAGCATTGATCATGTGTAGGGATTCTATTAAATCTAATAATACACTTTCTTTTGACTAAATCGCCCTGCACATTTCAATACCAAATGACTTCTGTTCATTCTATTAAAGTGGAACTACTCTCAATTATGTTTCATACTCCTATTGTCTGATACTAATGAAGATGAAACACTTTAATTTTTCCACTTAATTAGTTCATATTTAACAAAGGTGCTGTGCCATCAGACTCCAAAGAAGCCTTTTTTCACCACCCTTTCTCATTTTTCTTTCTTTTTTTTTCTTCTTATGGCATTGAAAATAATCCTTTTGCTTTCATCCTTCTGGAGAAATTATGTTTGTGCTGTTCTTTTCTTATAATTGGAACACTGTTTTAATTGAATTCCTCAAAAGAATCCACCTTATCCCCCTCACTTTTTTTTTCTTGTTAAATGAGCTTATGAGTTATGAATGTGCTCGTACTTGGGATCCCGTTGGCAGGCAGTGGCAAGGACAGCTAATTGAAGGTGAATTGATAATGCTCCAGCTGTCTATGTGTTGCAGCCTCATAGCCAGTTTGCTGTGTGCGTCTTTGATAAGTAATTCATCTGTTTGGCCTGGCAGCATTGCCTTGCTGCTTTCATGTCGCTCTGTGTGTACGTGTGTGCTCACATGTGAGGCTTTGGATGCTGCCCCCTCAGGCTGTGTGTCTGTAGTCATGGTCAACATGGGGTGAGTCCTCCGCTGCCTCTCTTCTTGCACTTTGGGTGTCTCAGTGGCTTTATCGTCTCTCCCTTCCAAGCTTTTTTTTTTAATTGGATCCACTCCCAAGTTGCCCCAAATAAATTCTCCACAAGTCATCCACCCGTCCCACCCAGCACAGAAAGTTGACATGAGGTGATGGGACACAGAAAGCTCCGACTCACCGGGGTGTTGCTCTCCTCCTGTTGCTTTCAAGCCTCTTATCTGACCCCCTCCCCCTCCCTGCACCGACATGCTTCACCTCGGCCCTCCCGCCCCACCTTTGCGGTGCGATTCGTTAACATGTTTGAGGTGGACACGGCGGGCCGTGGAGCCGCATCTGAATCAATGCCTTTGTCTCCCAATCTGCCCTTTATCATGTTAATATGATTTCCATTGATGGAACGCTTTTTCAAAATGGCATCCCTCTATGGTTTTACATATTGACTTTTTAATTCATGGCCCTCAGTGCTGCATCACTCTTGTTATGTCGGCGCTGCAAGAACGCTCCCAGATCAGAGACGGATGTTGCTTGAGTGTGGAATTGACTTCAGGGCACTGTTTTTTCCTTTTCTCGTCTTACACCGCCTGACTGTGAGTGCGTCTCACCAACTCCACCCTCTTCTTTTTCCCTCTGCTGCTGTGTCCCCGTTGGTGTATACATTCTCTTGTTAGGCCCGAGTCACAAAGGAAAAAAAAAAGAAAGAAAGGAAAGACTCCCATTTCATTTTGCTGGGGCAATGAGTAAGTTCTTCTTTGCTAATGTTCTCACCAAAATACAATCTGGCCTCAATAGTAATAATGTTTACGGCTCCTCCCAATAGCCAGTGGAGAATTGCCTGAACCTGTAACATTGCTATAACAGGAAATGAGAGTTTAATGCCCCGTAGAGTTATGTTCTACCAGCAGTAGAACATGTATTTTATTATATATTATGAAGACAGAATGATGTCTGTCTTATTGGAGCTCTTTGGGTTTTACATGTTTGTTTCTTGGAGGGCTAAAGGGTCCTGGAAGTACCTGTACACAAAACTAAACTGCACCATAAGCACATTACGACCATTTAAACATCTATAGTGTAGAAGAACCAAATAAAGAAGTGGTCAGTTTCTCAGCCTCTTTGAGCATAAAGTTCAACATTATTATTATTATTTTTTTTATAAACAAAACAGTTACACCACAAACCATAGTGTTTCAAGCTAACCTGTATTTTAAATCAAACC